GAGCTCCAATTCATTTGGCAACAGACTTTTCAACAAAAGCCAAACAGGCCAGGAGGGAGTGTAACATCATTTCAGAGTGCTCAAAGAAAAAAAAAACTTCTTAGCTCATAAAAATATAAGAGTTATAAAAAGAAATAAATAGTCTCATGTGTAGACTTACATGACGTAAAGAAACATTTGTATACTTTTTTTCCCCTCCAGTTGGACTTGATATTCAGCAGAAATTTACAGTCTTTTACTTAGGACCCAAGAGGTTTGGAAATCAAATAATTATGCGAAGAAAATCAGAAACAGAGATTTCCCATTCTGAATATTCAGACAGATCTACTGTAGCAGGACCCAATAAAGGTAAATAGCTCTATTAATTCCTATTTTATATTAAAGCAAAGATATGGCTAGGGAAGAATATCAGTGTTATAATACTGCTTCACTCAGACTGTGGCTACTCGGGGGTTAGATATTTAGGTTTCATAATAATTGCATTAATAGTATTTAGTAGGGATTCTTTCTTATAGTTAATATTTCTCAAATTGGGATGATATTTGGGGCACAGATTATTTGATTAGCCTTTTGGTATACATTTTCCCTTTTCCATACCCACTCCATTGTTATGGCAATTGTCTGGGGGAGAATTAGTGATGTATAAGAATCTACAGATTTGTTAAGGCAAACCAGAGTGAAAATGAATTAATTTTTTTATTATGTAGTCCCAGCTATTTGGGAAGCTGAGGTAGGAGGATGATTTGAGCTGAGAAGTTTGAGGCTATAGAGTGCTATGATACCATCTGTGAATAGCCACTGCACTCCAGCTGGAGCAATATAGCAAGGCTGGCCCTGTCTCCAAAAAAGAAAAAAAAGACTAAAGTAATTATGATTAATATTTTCAAGAAAATAGAAGAAAAATAGACCAAATGTATGAAAGGATAGAAAATTTTACCAGAAAATTGAAATCTGTATGGAGATTTAAATAAACTTTCTAGGATTGAAAAATACAATATCTGAAGTGAAGAACTAGTTGAGCAGGTTTAACATTAGATTGGATATAACCAAATATAAAATTTGTGGGCTGTAAGGCATATCAATAGAAAATATCCAAACTGAAGCCCAGAGATAAGAGAATGGAAAGAACACAAAAGAACGTACTTAAAAAAAGGTCTCATGTATGTGTAATTAAAGTCTCAGAAGCAGACTAGAGAGATAGAATGGGACAAAAGCAACATTCAAGAGACAATGGCTGAGCATATTCCAAAATAATGAAGACATAAACCAACAGATTCCAAATTTTGGTAAATCCCAAACAGAGATAAACACACAGAAAACCACAGCTGGGCACATTGTAGCAAAACTGCTGAAAATATTAAAATTGGACATATAAAAACTATGCATTACCTTCAAAAGAGCAACAGTGAAATTGATAGCTACTTCTCAACAATAATGTTGGAAACCAGAAGATAACATAATTTGTTTCAAAATATTGCCAACTTAGATTTCTATGCCAAGTGGAAAATATCCTTCAGAATGAAAGTGAAATGGAGGGAATGTGCAGATCAAAAATGGCGGCATAGATGCAAGTTGGCTTTACTCCTTGCCCACCCACAGAAAACCAAAAAGAAATATATAATGCTAAGATTTTCACCAGCAATATCCCAGAACTCAAGTATGAGGATGAGACAGTTTCTAGTGCCACAGAGTAGAAAAACTCTGAGCAGATGGCAGGAGAATTAGAATTCTACATCCATAACACCCGTACCCCCATTTTGTCTGACACCAATCACATGGAAAATCTCCTTCCAACTCATGGTTTCTACACCAGAAAAAGTGAAATTGTCAACTGGCTTCCACACCTTCTTGGATTCCCTGGCAGGAGACCTGTCCTTGCCTTAACCCACAGGAAGCATCAAGACTGCCTGAAGGGAGAGGACAAGCGGAGACAAAGAGGGGAGGTGGGACTACCATCCCCAGCCCTGGAAACTCTGCTCTGTAACTCAGCCAAAGGAGATACCAAATCAGAGTGGCTGTTCAGCAGCACCATCCTGTAGGAGCTATGTTCCATGGGTCCTCTGGGCACAAAACTGTAGCCAGCCACTCCTAGGATAATCCCTTTGAGACCTCGCCAATTTGGGACAGGCAGTGCTCTGACCATATACTAGCAATAGAGCTGAGGAGAACCTGGGGTAAGACATCACCTAGAGCTGAGAAGGAGGCAGCGACCTAGTGGCAAAGACTTGCTAAGCAAGTATATTCAATAAAAAACAAAACAAGCCAAACAGAGAAAAATTGAATAAATAACTAATCCTTCAATGCAAAGACGTAGATGTATACCCACAAGAAACAACAGCAAACAGGGAACCATGATCTCCCCAAAAGGACAAAGCAAAATCAAGTGACTGTCCCTAATGAGAAGACAATTTGTGAGCTCTCTGACCAAGGATTCAAAATAGTAGTTTTAATGAAACTGGTGATCTCCAAGGTAACACCAAAAAGCAATTCAGAAATTCATAAGAGAAACTTAGCAAAGAGATTGAAATACTAAAAATAAATAAAAAAAAATCTTAGAACTGAGAAATACATTTGCTGAACTGAAGAACTCTTTAGAGGATCTGAACAGTAGTAGACTGAACCAAGCAGGGGAAAGAATCAGTGAGTTCCAAAATCAGCTATTTGAAAATACACCGTCAGAGGAGAAAAAAGAAAAAAGAATGAAAAGGAATGAAAACCACCTACAAGATATAGAAAATTACCTCAAAAGACCAAATCTAAGAATTATTGATGTTCAAGAGGGAGCTGAGTAAGAGCAAAGGGTAGAAAGCTTATTCAAGAAATAATAACAGAAAACTTTCAAAAAACTTGAGAAAGATATAAATATTCAGGTACAAGAAGTTCTTAGAACTCCAGACAGATTCAACCCAAATATGACTACCTCAAGGCATATAAAAAGTAAACTCTCAAAGGTCAAGGACAAAGAGAGGATCCTAAAAGCAGCAAGAGAAAAGAAGTAAATAACATATAAAGGAGCTCCAATTCATTTGGCAACAGACTTTTCAACAAAAGCCAAACAGGCCAGGAGGGAGTGTAACATCATTTCAGAGTGCTCAAAGAAAAAAAAACTGGCATCCAAGAATATCATATCCAGCAAAATTATCATTCTAATTTGAACAAGGGGTAAAGTCTTTCCAAGGCAAACGAAAGCTGAGAGAATTTACCATCACCAAGCTGGTCTTGCAAGAAATGCTAAAGGGAGTTCTATAGTCTGAAAGAAAAAAAACAGAACATTAATATTTAAAAGAAAACTTTTGAAAGTATAAAATCCACTGGTAAAATTAAGTACACAGACAAACCCAAAATAATCTATTACTGTATTTGTGGTATGCAGTCCACTCATAACTTTATTATGAAGCCCAAAAGACAAACCTATCAAAAACAGTAATAGCTTCAGCAACCTATAAAGAGAAAGATAATATAAAAATTTGTAGGTTGAGCCAATAAAAAGTAAAATTATGGGGGGGAATGAAGTTAAAGTATAGAATTTTTTGTTGTTTTTTTAGGATTTTTTTGCCTTAGTTTTTATTTGTTTATTTGTGATCCAAGATAAATTATCATCTTTTAAAATAACTTCTTATGTCTATATTTTTTGTAAGCCTCATGGTAACCACAGTGCAAACACATATAATAGATCCACTAAAAATAAAATGCAACAAATTAAAACATACTACTAGTGGTAATCACTTAACCACAAAGGAAGACAGCAAGAAAGGAAGAAAGAAAGCAAGGAATCTCAAAAGAACCAGAAATCAAGTAAAAATGTGGCAGTAGTAAGTTCTTACTTATCAATAATAATATTGAATGATATAATAGTGTTCTCCAACTAAAAGGCATAGAGTGGCTGAATGGATAAAGAAACAAGACCCAACTATATGTAACCTTCAAGAAACCCACTTTACCTATAAAGACACACATAGACTGAAAGTGAAAATGTGGAAAAAGATGTTTCATGCAGCTGCAAACCAAAAAAGAACAGGAGTACTGATCGATACTCCAATCAAAGACTATAAAAAAACACAAAGAAGGTCACTATAGAATAAAGGGGTCAATTCAGCAAGAGGATATAACAATTATAAATATCTATGCACCCAACAAGAGAGCTCCCAAGTATGTAAAGCAAACATTAATAGATCTAAAGGGAGAGATAGGCTGCTATACAATAATAGTAGGGGACTTGAACACTCCACTGTCAGCAATAAACAGATCATCCAAACAGAAAATCAACAAAGAAACAGTGGGGTTAAACTGCACACTAGATCTAACAGACTTAACTGACATTTACAGAACATTTCACCCAACTGCTGCAGAATACACATTATTTTCATTAGCACATGGAACACTCTCCAGAGTAGACCATAGCTTAGGCCACAAAACAAGTCTGAACAAACTTTAAAAAATAGAAATCACATCATATATCTTTTCCTACCACATTGGAATAAAACTATAAATCAATCAATAACAAGAAGAACCTTGGAAAATACACAAACACATGGAAATTAAACAACATGCTCCTGAATGACCAGTCGTCAATGAAGAAATTAAGAAGAAAGTTTAAAATTTTTTTAAACAAATGAAAATAGAAATACAATATACTGAAAAAACTATGGGATACAGTAAAAAGCTGTCCTAAGAGGGAAGTTTATAGCAATAAACACCTCTATCAAAAAATAAAAAGACTTCAAATAATAATAATGATGCACCTGAAGGAACTAGAAGAGCAAGAACAAACAAAATGCAAAATTAGTAGAAGGAAAGAAATAATAAAGATCAGAGGAGAAATAAATAAAATTGAGACTACAAAAATACAGAAGAACAAAATGAAAAGTTAGTTTTTTGAAAAGATAAACAAAATCAATAAACTTTTAGCTAAGCTAAGAAATAGGGTACTCAAATAATATCAGAAATGAAAAAGACATAATAACTGAGACCTCAAAAATACAGGGAATTATTAGACACTATTGTGAACAACTATATGCCAACAAATGGGAAAACCTAGAAGAAATGGATAAGTTCCTGATCACATACAGCCTACCAAGATGTAACCATGAAGAAGTAGAAAATCTCAACAAACCAATAATAAGTAAGGAGATGAAAGCCATGTTTAAAAGTCTCCCATCAAAGAAAAGCCCAGGACCTGATGGATTCACTGCTGAATTCTACCAAACATTTAAAGAACTGGTACCAATCCTACTCAAACTCTTCAAAAAAACTGAAGAGGAGGGAATACTTCCAAACTCATTCCATGAGGTCAGCATTACCCTGATATCAAAACCAGAGAAGAACACAACAAAAAAAGAAAACTACAG